GGCAGTATTTGCAGTTTTAATATTAGTGAGTTAGGTTACAGGCATCAGACACTGAATCTGACTCATTTAAGTAATAGACATACCGGGGTGCCAAAAATATATATATACACATGACTTGTATTCATCTTTGTTATCGGTATTTATTGAGTATTACAATGTTAATACAGTTATTGCCTTTCTTAAAATATGTATGCATCTTTTGGCACCCCCTGGATATTTGAAAAATACTGCGGGCTCAAAGAATGGGTGGGAGAATTTTGGAGGAGATAGGAGCCAAGAGAATGAAAGACAGCAGGAAGCAAAAGATACAGCAATAGTCTCCTGTGTGGATAACCCTAATCAGGACACTACCTTTATCATGTATGACCTACAGTCATTTGGGTTACTGCCTCAAAGTTTAAAGTCCTAGAAGCGACCAATTTATTAGAAGATGACCATAGATAATCTCCTGCCCCCACCCCCGGCCCCTGCCAAATTAACCTATATAGGAGACAGAAAGAAATAAGAATATGGTCCTACTTGTCTTCAACAGTGGGCATTGGAAAGCGATTTCCTCGCCCACGAAAACTATACATGGGCTCTTAGGGAAAGGAATGGATGTGCTGTATTGACCAGTTTTTTGCTTTTATGATGCTGAATAACAAGTATTCCAAACTCTAATGGCTTATAGAAATATGCATTTATTTTTCATGCTCCTGGATCTGCGAGTCAACCAGGAAGTTTCGCTTCAGGTGGCAGACTGTTTGGGGTTGCCTGCAGGCCATGGCTCAGGACCATATCTGCTCCACATCCTCCTTGGACCAGTGGCTACCCCAAGCATGTTCTTCTCATGGAGTCACAAAAGCACAAAAAGGTAAGCTGCTGTTCACCTTACATGTGCACTTAACATTCCTTTCGACAAAGCCCATCACATGCTCAAATCCAATTTCAGTAGGGCAGGCAAGTATACTCCTCCCCAATAGGGAGGAGGAAAGAAGTGAATAATATTGGTAACAGTAATGCAATCTAACACAGATGCCAAGCAAGCATCCTCTATATGTGAGTCCTAACCACCTCACTGACATCTCCAAAACCTCCATTTTCTGCCTGAGCCGAACCCTCAAATAAAAATTCATGGAAAGATCTTGGTCACTGTTGTGGGAGGATATAGACTAATTGTCTCTACATGTGTCCCTCAGATCTCAGCCCCACATTCTCAGCTAATTATAAGCATCCTGTATTTTCACTCTTAGATAACGAATGCCTTGAAGGCAAAGCACGAATGTTTGTGAGGATCTAAGGATGCTTGGCTAGTGAATGAAATAGGGAGTCTTATTGAACTTTGCCAGTCATGCTCCAGTAGGGCTCACCAGCCTGAGAAGAGGACAGGCATCGATGGCCCAGGGCAGAGCCAGGGGATGGGATTAGGTTTGTTTAGACTTAACACCGGTTTTCATGCACCAGAGCATGAAGGAAAAACAAGTCATTTACCCCTTTACATGTCCTGTGGCTCCTTATCTCTTCACCTCCTGGCTCCATCCACTACCAGTCAAGGTCAAGGACACTACACAAACAATGTAAAAGGAGTTGCTTCAGGCTTTATCTCCTTTGGACCCCTGTCTTATTATCATCTTGTCACTAAATGGATTGCTCCTTCTTGAAAGCACATAGCAACTTCTCAATTAATGTTTACTATCACTAATATTCTGTGCCAAGTACTAAACTAAGCATTTTAACATGAATTACCATATTTAGCCTTCACAACTTCTACACTAGGCAAGAACTATTACTGTTTGTGACCACTTGGTTTGGCAGCTCTTTTTTCCCATTATTTGCCTTGTTGAGAGGTGTGACAGACACTGTCACACCTATCTGTGTGAACTTGGACAAGTTACTTAACTTTTCTGTGCTTCAGTTTCCTTTATAAAAGAAAAAGAACTCATAACAGTGTTATGAGTATTGACTGGGCAAAAATGCCCAGAACAATGCCTGAAACATTACAAGCATTTGATAAATGTTCATAAAGGCCATACAATCAATCTGTCATCCATCTGCTTGACTCCTCGTTTCATGACCAGTCTCCCCAACCCAGCAGGAACTCCTACAACTGGGACAAAGGTACAATTTTGGCCAGTACGGACAGGAAAGGATCTGTGCAGTGGCCCATCCAATCAAGAAGGCCCGTACTCACTCCCAACCTGTTAAAAAGAACAAAATCCTTTAGAATCTTCAGTGTGTCTTTTCCCCTCATATTAGAGTATTTTTTGTTCATTCACTTTCATCCAGCCTCTATCTAGAGAATAGTTTTTGATTATGGATTTGATGGCTTAAGCCAGTTTTTATTTTTTAATTTTTTATGAAGTTGACTGCTTCAAATTTTTGTTCTTAATTTTGGACATTTATATCTCATTTCTTTATGAGAAAATCTAGGAATTATAGTTTTAATGTCATAGTAAGTAATATTAAAATAAATGGCAAGGCACAAATTGGGAAATTCAAAACACCTAATAATTGGATTGGAGGAATATAAAAACGCTGGATTCAGTGAACCAGTGCCAGTCTAATTTAAATGTTTAATTAAAAGTTATTTGGAGGCACACCATACATAAACTTCATTGCACTTTTCTATGGCTGGGAAGGAAGCTTGATAACTAGAAGAAAAATCAGAATCGCATAAAGAAATGGGAATGGGCTGTAATCTTTAAGCAGTGTGCTCCATTTTAATCAAGGCATGTCCAACATACATCCCATTACCAATTCATTAAAATACGTTGTCCCTGGTGCCAAATCTGCTGTTAGTTGTTTAACAGCAGAGCAATCATGCTTCAAGGCAGGAAAGGAGGTAGCAATACCCAGAAGGAGGCAAGAGATTGTGTTAGCTGAAGCACTATTTATCCAAAGTCTCCCCAGAGCTGTGGAGGAAGAAAAAGAAGAAGGCTTGTGATTAGGGAAGTCGAGATTAGAACTAGTTTGACAAGAACAAGCCCGCCAGTGTGCAAACTGACTCATACTGAGGGCTATTCATAGCAGAAGGGTATTTAGCACATTGTCAAATATGACATTTAAAAAATGCAGCAGGATCATTGGTACAAATAGCTAATGAACAGTGACATATTTAGATTGCCTATCTAGAGGTGGCTGGGTATGTGCAGTTAGAAAAAAAGAACTCCATCATCAAATGGAGAAACTAACAAAGAAACAAACAAACAGATAATGTCCAAAATGAAATTCTAAAACTAGGTTTGTCTTCAGAGGCTTATCAATTCTGGCACTGTCAATTTGTCCCTGTCACCTTTGTCTCCCGGCTTTCTCATCTATACAATGGGATAATAATTGTGCCTATTTTTCAGCCTTGTGAGAGTTAGAGATTAAATAGGTTAAGATGTAATAGGTTAGGGCCAGCCAAGTGGCGTGATGGTTAAGGCTTGGGAAGTCAGAGGGCCCCGGTTCGGATCCCACATATGAGGGCCAGTGACACTGCCCTCCACAGCTAAGATGCTGAACAACAGCTCAACCTGGAGCTGGGCTGCCATGAATCGCTGGCGATGGCGTAGGCTGCAGCCCCTGCTGCAGTGGGTTGCCATGGGCTACCGTGTATAGCCAGCAGCCAGCGTGAGTGGCCAGTAGCTGCAGTGAGCGGCCGTCCAGAAGCCAGTGATTGATCTGCCTCGCCCAGGAAGAGCACAATGATGGTGCCAACTTGGGCCAGTGAAGCAACGTCCTCCACAACTAGACACAACTAGACTGAAGAACAAAATGACAGCAACTTGTCTGTTCCCCTTCCCCCAATTCCCCAGCACTGTTCCCATCCCCCCAATTCCCCAATAAAATCTTAAAAAAAAAGATGTAATAGGTTAATATGTACTGCAATTAGAATAGTAGCCAGGAAAGGAATAAGCTTTTATAAACATTGGTTGTTTTCATTATTAGTAGCATTATTATTGGAATTTTTTTTCAACTAAGGAAGTGTGAGATATAATCATTTGTATAGGTATCACCAAATTAAACCTAAATGTTTAGATGAAACCCATTTACAGTGTGAGTTAAATGGTGCTTTTATTTCTGGATAATAAAATTGATTTCTCTAAAAAAATGTTTCTTATGTTTAAGAGGTCAAAAATAAGCTGCATCCTTTCAAACACCTTTCACTTTTCCTTTCTTCCCATTTTCTTAATGTCATCAGTTTAATTCATTCCTTCATTTATTCAAACACTTTAAAAAGTATTAGGTTCCATAATGAGCCAGGCATTGTGCTAGACTGAGTTGCTAAGAGATGTCAATCAGGATGTTTAAATATCCTCTGCCATGAAGGAAAAGAACTACCATAAACTCAACAATATACAGTATACGTGTACAAGGTCTGACAATTAAGTTTGCAAACTTGTTGCAACAATGTTGTTAACCTTTTTTGATTTCAGAAGGATTATTCATTATGAATTTGTACCAACTGGGCAAACAGTTAACCAAGTTTATTATTTGGAAGTACAGAAAAGGCTGTGTGAAAAAGTTAGATGACCTAACTATTTGCCAACAATTCATGGCTCTTGCATCATGACAATGCACCAGCTCACACGGCACGGTCTGGGAGGGAGTTTTTAGCCAGTACAAATAACTGTATTGGGTCACCTTTTTTACTCACGTGATCTGACCCTCAATGACTTCTTTCTTTACCTGAAGATAAAGGAAATATTGAAAGAAAGACATTTTGATGACATTCAGGTCATCAAGTTAATATGACAACAGCTCTAATGGCCATTCCAGAAAAAGAGTTCCAAAATTGCTTTGAAGTGTGGACTAGGCCCTGGTGTCAGTGCATAGCTTCCCAAGGGGAGTACTTCAAAGGTGACTACAGTGATATTCAACAATGAGGCATGTAGTACTAGCTCTAGGATGAGTTCACGAACTTCATTGTCAGACCTCATACATTAACAAACACACACATGTTAAACAGGTTTCATTATTTTCCCCACATTACAGATGAGGAAACTGAGGCTTAGAGGATGAAGGATCTGCCTCAAGCACTCTACCTTAAGGCCTCGATGCGGGCATTGCAGTGCCCAATCCATACTCACACCCCACTGCAGGGCAGGCCTCTGTCAAAATGCCATCCTTTCCTTTTCATTTCTCCCTTTTCAGGACTCTATGAAGGAAACAGTTCAAGGAAATGGCTTGACTTCAGGACTAATATTTCCCAGGGAAGAACCCAGTGCCAGTCGCTGGCCCCCACCACAAGAAGCTCTGTCAATAGCATGTGAACTAAGAAAAATCTCTGCAGTCAAAAAAGGTGAACACAGCAGATGAATTACACCTTATCTTTAGTTCCACTTCTTTTCCTAATGAATAAATGAGTAAATCAATAGATCCTTAGGTCCTATGAGCCTCTTTTTACTCCAAGCAAGTATTGTTTCTGTTTTTTCTTTTCTTTTTTTTTTTTAAGCTAAGAATCCTAAACAACCAGAGGCCATTTTCACAGTTTACCATCTAACAAAACACAGCAGTGGTAATTAAAACAATCTGGGGCTAGGAAAAGATGGAAGGAAATCTGTCACCACTGTGCCTATCAAGCAAAAAAAAAAAAAGGTTCTGGGGAATGAAACAGAAATATTGACAATTTGTTAGCTATAACCCCAGACCAACACACAGTAAAAGGGTGAGGCAGAGATTGTTGCTGGGGAAATGTCAGCTTTACATGAGAAGCCATGGAAAAACTCTAAAAAGGTGTCCATAGTTTTCACCTTCTGCCAAGGTCAGGAAGGAACTAAATTTCTTTTCCACAAATGGGAATCAACTACTCTGTAGTTATTTGCATTTACTAGCTTTAGAAAGGAGTGACCATATCTGGTATATTCACCTGTGTCGGCTTAAGTGAAAGGTAAAAAAAAGCAGCCCATATCCAACTTTAAAGTGTTTTAAGTTTAGGTTTAACTTGATTTTAAGAATACTGCAGGTCTTTCAGATTCATAGTCTCCTTTTTCTTTAAGGTATTTCATCAAACCCTCAATCCACTGGCTGAATCCTTTCAGTCCTCTGACTGGGGTGAAGTTGTTTAGGAGCTTCCCACCTCCAACCTGAACTCCATAAAGTAAAACCAGAAAGAACAACCCTGCAAGACATCTTACTCCCTGCTGTTCTTGATCCATTTGCAGGAAATATTTTCCCAGTCATATATAAACCATGAAATCCAGCTGAGAATCTTTGGAGCTCTGTATCTCATATAGTTGCATCTTATGGGACAAATTTGCCAAAGATTTGTAAATTCTCAAACAATAAGAAACTTAATGAATTTGGAGCAATTCTGCTGACTTTATTTCTCTTATCATGCTTGTTAGTTAAAAGATATAGATTGGATAATATAAAAACAACAATAGCACAACAATAATAGCTAACTACTGTAAGATGCTTCTTTATGGAAATGTTGTCATTATTTTAATCTTCAAAACAACTTCAAAGTAGAGCAATGAATTACCTGTGTCTAGTTCCATTTCGAATTGCCTTGGGAGAACAATTCTAATCACCAGTAGCATTTGAAACTAGAGAAGAAAAAAGTATTAAAGAATGGGGCTGGAAGAATATGCATCCAAGAATTAGTAATTATTGTGGGAATGAGAGGTAGCATTGTATGTACTTCTTTTCCCACATATTAATATACATATTTTTTTGTTAAGAAAAAGACAAGAATAAAAAGCAAGACAGTGTTAACTTTCCCAAGGCATCATATCTATTTCTGAATATGGGGTTTGTACATTTGAACTTAAAGTTTAATAATATTGGGTTGTTGGAAAAGTCATGATGCATGTTAGTGACAGATGGCACTAGTTCATTTTTGGAAGTACTACAATCATTCACATCTATGTTATTGCTATGTCATTTGACAGCTGACAGTTCTAGCTTCATTCTAAAAAGAAAATTGAGTGATTTGGTTGAGTTTTGGAGATTTTACAAGTTGAAGATGGAAGGCCAAACTGTGCATTTTTGCCATATTTTACTGGCTTACTTCCATAAAGGGAAGAAGGCACATCAAGCTTGTGAAAAGTTGCATCAAGTTTACAGTGACAATGCTCTACAAGAACATCAGTGCCAATGATAGTTCACAAAATTCCATGCTGGTGATTTCAACCTCAACGACGCTCCTTGGTCTGGGATGACAACAAAATAAAGACATTCATCCAGTCAAACCCACGTTACCCAACACGATAGATCACAGAAACACTGAACATCCATCATTCAAGCATTCACGACCACATGAAGAAGCTGGGATACATAAGCAAGCTCGATATTTGGGTTCCGCATGAACTCAAACAAGTTCATTTGACGGTGCCTATAAACATCTGCAGTATGCTCATTAAACGTGAGGAAAACAATCCTTTTTTGAAGCGACTGGTGATGAGAAGTAGATTATTTACAACAATGTGGTGTGCAAATGGTCTTGGTCCCCACGTGATGGTTTGCCTCAAACGAAATTGAAAGCACACACTCATCAGAGGAAGGTTATGCTCTCAGTGTGGTGAGATTTTAAAGGTGTTGTGTTTTTCGAGCTCCTACCAAGGAACCAAACAATCAGTTCAAATGTGTACTGTTGGCAATTGGACAGTTTGAACAAATCCATCATCCAGAAACATCCAGAGCTTGTTAATTGTAAAGGAGTTGTGTTCCATCACGACAACGTGAGACCACACACAAATTTGATCACCCGTCAAAAATTATTGGAGCTTGGATGGGGTGTGTTGCCACACCCACCATACTCGCCTGACCTTGTGCCGCCAGACTTCCACTTGTTTAACTCTCTTCAAAACTCCTTACGTGGTATAACGTTCAATTCAATGAGGCTATAAATAAGCACCTTGTTCAGTTTTTCACAAATAAAGACAGGTCCTTCTATGAACAAGGAATTATGAAGCTCACTGAAAGATAGCAAAAGGTTATTAAACAAAATGGGCAATATATCATTGATTAACCTTTGTTCTTTATATAAATAAATGACCTTTGAAAAACATAGACAAAATATGTCATGACTTTTATGACAACCCAATAATAAGTGCCTCCCAAGATGTACCTGTTGGATCTCTACTTCTTCTCCTTAATTGTTCTCTCTGGAAATTTGGAAATGATATGTTGTTACTTCTGGCATTAGCCAACCTCAAGCCATACTGTCCAGAGTCAAGAAAGTAGTATATTCAGAGAACACCAAGCAGGATCAGGCAGGACAACACTGAACATACATTTCAGAGAGATGGTTCCAAGACAATGAGACCAATCTGAGGAGAAAGAGACAAGTCATGAAAAAGAGAGAGAGCAGTGAGAGATCAGGTGTAAAATGGGGCAGAAGCAGAGAAGACAGCCGTAGAATGAAATCAGTTCAGAAGCAAATCTTGAAATTATGAAAGTCTAATCACAGGGTTTGGTGTATACTCAGTTGAGTTTGTGTCTACTTGAACATATCACAGTCTTCAACCAAAGAGGCAACGGGTTCTAACATTTTCACCATCATTGTTATTTCTCAAAGGAGATAATCCTGATCTCTCCATTGATTGTTATTTCAGTAAACAATCTTCCTTTCTGGAAGACACTGAAGACTTTCTGTGCTCATAGAGAAAAGCACAAAGACAGTGTTCGTAAGTAGTAACAGTTGTAGTAGCAATAATAATAATAAAGGTAATAATAACAATAATAATAATAATTGTTGCAAAAACAGTAATAGTAGTAGAAATATGAGGTCTGAGAGTTAAGGTCACAAATTCATCCTAGAAAAGGTGTTACATACTTCATTGCTGAATATCACTACAGTCACCTTCAAAGTACTCCCCTTGGGAAGCTATGCACTGATGCCAGAGTCTAGTCCACCCTTCAAAGCAATTTTGGAACTCTTTTTATGGAATGGCTATCAGAGCTGTCATCATATTACCCTTGATGTCCTGAGTGTCATCGGAATGTCTTTCTTTCAATATTTCCTTTATCTTCTGGTAAAGAAAGAAGCCACTGGGGGCCAGATCAGGTGAGTAGGGAGGGTGTTCCAATACAGTTATTTGTTTACTGGCTAAAAACCCCCTCACAGACAGTGCCGTGTGAGCTGGTGCATTGTTGTGATGCAAGAGCCATGAATTGTTGCTGAAAAGTTCAGGTTGTCTAACTTTTTCACACAGCATTTTGAGCACTTCCAAATAATAAACTTGGTTAACTGTTTGTCCAGTTGGTACAAATCCCTCTGATATCAAGAAAAGGTTAGCAAAGTCGTTTTGACTCTTATTTTGGACTAATAAAACTTTTGTGGTCATGGAGAACTGGCTGACTTCCATTGTGCACTTTGACGCTCTGTTTCAGGGTCGTATTGGTACACCCATGTTTCATCACCAGTGATAACATGGACCAAAACATCATCTTGCCTCTCCAAAAGGTCTTGGCAAACTTTGACCCTCCTTTGCTTTTGTTCATCGGTGAGCTCCTTTGGGACCAGTTTTGCACACACCATTCTCATGCCAAGATTTTCATTTCAGATTTTCCTACCTGTTTCTCTGTCAATTTTTACTTGGTCTGCTGTGCTTCACAAAGTCAGCCAATGATTTTGATGCACAATTCAACAAATTTTTGCAATGTTTTTATCAGTTCTGCTTGTTACTGACTGCCGTGACCTGTCTTCATCAGTAACACATTCTCTTCCCTCAAAAAAACATTAAATCCTTTTGTACACTGCTGTTTTTTTCATGGTATTATCCCCATAAACTTGGACTAACATGTCCCTGATTTCACTTCCACTCTTGCCAAGTTTAGCAAGAAGTTTAATGTTTGTCCGTTGCTCTAATTCAAGTTCAGACATTCTCATGATGGCACACAAACACACACAACAATAATGAATGCCACTCAGCAAGATGCCACATGTCGCCATGAACACAACTGTGAGACACTGATATTCCAAGGTTATGAAACCTTGCTGAGCTGTTTGTATAGTGCTGTCAATGTAAGCACACAGTGGCAAGTTTGCGAACCTAACTGGCAGACCTCATATATTGGGCCATTGTGGGGTTTTTTCTTACAACTACATGTGCACCTACACTTATCTCAAAATAAAATGTTGGATTTAAAAATGTCAATGTAGGCTTGTTAGTCATAGTTCTGCAGCTAGTATTCAAAATGTACATGCTCAGTTCTATGCAGCTAGGGGAGGCTGCTCTTCTGTAAGCTCACTTGGCACATGAAACACATATTCTGCCATCTGTAATAGACCTCATCCTCCAGGCTGCCCACACTCTGGTCTTCCTTCCAGATCCAGAAGGTTCTGACTCACCACTTTATTTTGATGTTTCACTCATCCTTAATATACATACAAATGCTAAGTCACTGATACATATGTACAAATGCTTAGTCATCACAATTTCTATTTTCCACTCAAAGTTTGAAATCAGAACTATGACCTTGCCAAACAGAGTGACTACAGCTGTGCATATGCCACAACAGATGGCTCACAACTCATGGCTTTTACCCCCCAAAGTTGTTCTGTCTAGTAAACCTATCAGTAAGTATGTCACAGGTAAGTATTGTGGAATGGAGGGGGGAGTGGAAGTGAAGACAGCAATTTTGGCTGGGTAATGGAATCTCAGAGAATGGCGTAATAGCACTCCAGAAAGTTCCAACTAAGGGCCAATTTTATAGTATCCATTATATGAATCAAAAATTCTTAGTTTTGTGTGTTTCAATTTGGTTTTTTGGTTGTCGTCATCGTCGTCGTCATCGTTGTTGTTGTTGTTGTGTGTGTGTGTGTGTGGTAAAAAAGACTAGATGCTAGTTGAACCTCCTAGTCAAACACTATTGAGACTCTAATACAAGTTTTGGACCCTGTACCACCCCCAGAATATACACAGACACATTTTTAAATTGATCAAAAAGTATAATCACTGCTGAACTCACTTTCTCTGTCCTGACTGTTTTAAAAAATGCTCATTCAAGATCTGATAATGCCCAAGTGTCCAAATTGCAAATGCCATACATATCTCTGAAGTCCTTGAGCCTGTGATTGCCAGATGCATTGTCAGGATTTAGGGATACTTGTTAATTATAAACATTTTTACTTTATTTTAATGTTTTCTTACCATATTACAATGCTACTTTTCCTTACCTATTCGATCCATTGAATATGCAGTGGACTTAGTAAATAATATCTTCTCAATGCCTCATGTGTTAGTCAGCTAATGCTATCATTATGTTGTTGCATATCCAACCATCTCAAAACTTTGTGACTTACAACAGCTAGCATGTATTCTTGTGCTCACAGGTCTGCAGATATGCATCTGGGCTGATCTGAGCTGGGCTCAGCCAGGCAGTTCTGCTTCAGGCTACACATCAGCTGGGCTGGGCTGGGCTGGGCTGGGCTTGGCTTAGTTTGGGGTCTGATCCAAGTATCTCTTATATTTGTGGACAAAGGGATACTTAGGGAAGGTTCTAATGGCAAACGGCAGAAGAGTGAAAGGTAAACCAAACCACCCAAGCCCAGTTAAAGCCTTTACTTGCATCATATCTAATATTCTAATATCCAAAGAAAGTCATGAGTAATCCCAGCATTAATGAGGTGGCCACAAATGCCCATAGTAGAATAAAGAGAAGTGAGTCTTTGCTGAGCAGTAATCCAATATTTGACATGCCACAAATTTCTTTCTATTATTTCTTTAAGGCAACGAAGATGCTCTCATGTTCTAATGCTATTTTACCATACTCAGATGCCTAAACCAACTGGAGAAAGCATATGATTACAACTGAGACCATTTTGTCTGACCTGACTATGATTTAGAGCAGTTTCTCAACTTTGGCACTATTTCAGATATATTTTTTTGTTTGTGGGGCTGTCTTGTGATTATAGGATGACTAGCCACATTCCTGGCCTCTACTCACTAGATGCCTGCAGAATCTCCTAGTCATGAAAATAAAAAAATGTCTCCAAACATTGCCAAAATGTTCCCTTGAAGTCAGAATTACCAGTTTTTAAACACTATTTTAGAGAAATAGTCAAACATTCAAGGTGTAATAAACATTATGAATTGCTGAATAGAAAATGTCAGTAATACAGTATTTTCCTATATAAATATAAATAAATTTGCACTTAAATAAACTTGATTGTGTCCTTTTATATGGTACATATTGGTTAATCATCCATAATCCTTATAACTGTTCTGCCAGGTGGGTATCACTATTTCATATAACTGATGTTGAAATTAAGCTGCAGCTAAGTGAATTATTCAAAGACCCAAAGAGAAAAACAGGCAAAAATGAGATTTTTTTTTGTTAGCTGAATATTTATTGTAGGAGTACCACTGCATTCTACTTTAAAATAAATAGGTTGAAATCTCATTGTATTGTGAGCTTTTTTTATTCACCCTTTAAACCATAACCACAGTCTAACATGCCATAAATATATCATCACTTCCAAAAGTTTTCTACCATCATCCTTATATTCTTTTATATTTCTTGTAATAAGAACATTTAATATAATACCACTTATACCAGGAGCCTAAAATAGTCAAACTCATAGAAGCAGACAGTAGAATTGTTGCCAGGGCTGGGGGGGAAAAGGAAATGGGGAGGTGTTTGTCAAATTGTACAAAATTTCAGTTATACAAGATGAATAAGTTAGAGAGATCTACTGTACAGCATAGTGCAGATTGTTAACAATACCTTTGTATACTTAAAAATTTACTAACAAGACATATCTTATGTTAAAAATGAGATGTGAACCAAGAGTCTCCAACTTGAAATCAGCTTTCAGTAATAACACAGAATATTATATTATCTACATGTATAAGGATTCTTGATTATTGCAAACATTTTTGTTCTGCTTTATTAGGTATTTGTTGTATATAAAAACTTGTGATAACAAAAGACTTGATAGAAAAGGAGCCAACATTTATGTAACATTTTAACTGAGGATGCATTATTATTCACATCACAAACACTGAATGATAAATTACTAATAAAGTCTTCAGCCACTAGAATAGCAGTTAGATCATATGCACATTGTAAAAAGTACTTATAAACTACACCCACAATCATCACCATCATCAACAGCATAATTTTCAAGTGAAAATAGTACCAGTGTACCTTTTTTAGCTGATTTCTAGAAATCATTTAAAAGTTAGAACTCCCACCCAAGTGATTCTTGTTGTTTGGAATATGATCCCTGAGGAGCTGCAGGGCTAGCCTTGACTTCTCTGTTTCTACCATAACTCACATCCAATACATTAGTGAATCCAATTGAAGAATGCTTCACCACAAA